CAGCTGCTCCTGCCACGGGGCCTCAGTGATCCTAGGCACACCAGCTGCTCGCCTGCAGCACCGCTGCAGCCTTTGAGTCATTTCAACGCATTTGCTTTTAATTTATTATCTCTTTACTAAGAACAATACCCCAGAACAGCTGATGAATTGCTGGGGGCGCTGCTGCACGCCAACGCCATGGGCGCAAGGCCTCGCGGACGCCACTGTCTATTCACTGCATGTATAGAAACCGCAGTCAATGTACACTGCAGTGCCAGTACACTGCAGTGTAAGCATACTGTAGCTCGTATTTCTGCACTTAAGGTGGCGTACGTACACTGCAGTCAATGTACTTATACTACAGCCTGCACACTAGCGAGCACCTGAGATGCCTTAGCCACTGTGCGCCGTGGAACCTAAAGAATCCTTGTAGTACAACCCTCTCTGTAAGAAGTTTAGTTCGTCTATAGACTTCCTGCAATGCTGGGGGTCTTGCTACCTTCATTCCCACTCGTCTGAGGTTGGCAACTCGCGGGCAGTTCAGTGTTTAACAACTGTATACAGTGTTATTTAGTGCATCAAAGAGGGGGATGGGGTATTCCTTCATGTAGTGTTCCCTCGCAGCAAGAGCTGCACCGAGGTGCATCGCAACTTGTGACGGCCCATCGCCCCGTACCAGCTCCAGGAGTTTGTGCCGGAGCGGTCATGGGGCTGAGAGTTTGATGGAGAGGTCAGCTGCTTCGGGGTAGCTAGTCTCTTGTAAGTGCTGACTATATTGCAGTTCACCAAGCCAACTTGGTAGCACCGCAAGGCTTGGCGGAGCCAGAAGCTGCGAACTCCGACCACACTGCTGGGCGGCCTGGCTACTAGCACTGATTAGTCGTGGAGTTGGTTTGCCCGCAAGAAAACAGTGTCGGCGGCGCGATGTGGCGGGAAGTGGAGGAATGCGCCTCTCCTGAAGAGATATAACGGAAGAGCTACACTTGCAATTGGCATCTTTTCCATTAGAATGGCAGGCACGGTGAATATGGCGGAATCCGAAGAAGAGTAGCACTGTTCTGTTGCAAATCTGGAATATAGAAGCTGCCCGGCACTTACTGCGACGTAGATTTTTCCCTAGGTCTTCAATCGCACCTCTTATGGCAGAATTAAGAAGACTTAAGCAAGGGAAGCGGTTGACAGGGGGCAACTTCCACAAGTATCGGCCATTCGTGACCAGGAGTCCAACAGTGGAATCGGCTTTTTTCGTGTAAGCGGTTCATACCGGAACTGCCACCAAGAAAGCGGCAGCACATAACTGGCTGGGTTTGGAGGGAACTAAGAAGTAAAATGATCGAAATCGTCGAGGTGACTGTGTACTTACTCATCAAGGAAAGAAAAACGCTGCTTTCTCCGCGACATCTGATAAGGAAGAGGAATGCTGCGGAAGCTACCCAAGTATAATGCATCAGGATATTGAGGCTGTGAATGCCATTCGGGAATAGCAAAGTATAGGAAGGAAGAACAGATGGCAACTCGGAATGCCTGGGGAACTAACTGAGCAACGCATTTGCATATTTTGCAACAAAGTCCTCACATGGTTCGGAGCTGCACGAGCATGAAAACGGTTAAGGAACTCGATAAAAAATATTTGAAGCAATCCCCATGGATAACAGCTAAGGGAATGCGGCAATGACCCGGCAGACAAGGGATCGGCCCAACAAAGCTGATCGCCGAACCGGTAAGTCCGCCTCCAGCTCACCACGACAGAACCGTCTGGCATGCCTTGAGTGACTCAGTGGAGGGGGAGTATGCAGCATCCAGAAGGCAATATTAAAGCGTATCTGCCCGACAGCAATGCGAAACCGCACCACCGATAGCTCCTATGAGCGTTTGCATCGTTTGCAGTTAGAGGAGTGGAAGAAGCGTTTCAAGAAGAAAGGAACGACTTGGATGCAGGCCAATGCAACGCCCGAGACGTTGATAAACGCGTGCACTCTGTCGTGATGGTCTTGCAAAAACGAACCTTTGGGGGGATTCGATCCAGCTAAAACTCGAGGAACAGCAGAACTAGCCACAGCTGAGGGGTGAACAATCAGATATAATACGGCCCCTCCAGTCGATCTACCCCCCACTGAAAGCGCAATGCACCGCATCGAACTCAGTCTCGAAACATTCCGAAGTTTTGTTCGGAGGTACGCGCGACCTCAGTTTCTTGAAGAGGAAGTATCGAGGCAAGCAGACGCACGGATACGAAAAGGCAAAATTTAACAATCAACCAGCGCGCTCATCCGGTGACGGAGAAGGAGAAATTCTCCGGGCGGCGCATGCGCATCCGCTTCAGGCCCGTAACGAGTGAACTGTTGTGGGCAGTAAACAAGTGCCGGCAATATCTGCACAGCAGGCATTTCAGTCTTCAAACTGACTACCAATAGCTGAAACACCAGAGAAAGGTTGTTCAACTCTTTGATAGTGAGAGATTTGTTCGGTGCCGTTGCATTGCCGGCTCAAGCAGTACGATTTAAGTCGCGTTCTTCAAGGTTGTCAGCAATACACCATCCTGAGATACTACCCGCCAGGCACTGTGTTCCGCAGCTTCGTTTATCCACAGTGCTCCCCACACCCTTTCTACAATGCGTTTTTCTTAATCCTTGGATGCTCACGTGCTCAAAGTGCAGCCCGTTGTTGAGCGTCGCAGGAAACGCAGCCGTTGTGACAGGCCTTATATCCGCACCAACGTCCAAATGTGTACGACTTGAGCAGTAACACGCACCCATAACAGCCTCCTGCAGATCCTGCTGCAGAATAAGGCCTAGAGCTAAGGAAGGGATCGCTAGCGCTCGCTTCCTAGACCTGCTCAGTCAAGTACAGGCCCTATCGAAACCCCAGCCTTTCTCTGGTTCTTGAATTTGCTCCCGGTGAGCCCCAACTGAGGTTTTCAAAGCCCCGCCCTGCGCTACAGGGGGTGGAGCACCGCTCACTCCAGGCTACCTTGACCATACCCGTTGAGCCTTAACGCCTCGGCCGTATACTGACGAAACCCTCAAACCGGCGTGTGCCCGCTCCAGCTCTGAGGAAGCTGTGCATTGGGGCTGCATGCGCTCTCCCCCCTGGGGCATCCCCCCCCCCCATCCCCCCCCTTGCCCCAGCAAGTGCAGCGGGGCCCTCTACCAAAGGCTGCCTCCTCTCCCGAACTAGAAAGGGGGTTCTATTGGCTGCTCATAAGCAGCCGCTGCTGCTGGCTGCGCTCTGCTACTTTAGTTTATAGTTTCCGTGCGGTACTGCATGCAAACGAGGTGAAGTCTNCTGCTGGCTGCGCTCTGCTACTTTAGTTTATAGTTTCCGTGCGGTACTGCATGCAAACGAGGTGAAGTCTAGAACATCTGGATATAAAAAATAACGGTGTTAATTGGTTGAATTAGATAATATTAATAAATTAAAAATACTGAATTGTAAATACCATAATTACACATGCATCAGCAGCCCTGAGGGGGGGTTGCTAGCAGTTTTTACCCACACCCGCGGGGTTGTGTGCTTGTATGTATCTACTATGTTGAGATACAGCTAGAAGAGAAAGCAACGATTGCTGCATGCAATAAAAAAGATTGCAGGCCACTTTGTTATGACCGTTGTGGCTGCACCGCGGCAGCCTGCAGGGTTCCAGGCAACAAAAACAAAGGCACACGGCACCCAATCCTTTGTTTTTATAAAAACAAAGAGGGTCGTGCTGCGCGCTTTATAAATAAATATAATAGAATATATTATAATATAATATAATATAATATAATATTATATATGACCTCGAGCCAACATAGACTAAAAACAAAAATGTAACTCAATAACAAACCCTGCCACTGCAGGGCAAAGGTGTGCACGTCCCACATCCGTGTATATAATATTAATCTAGAAACGCTAATCAAGCTGCAAAAATCAATGTGGCGCCTTCACAGCTCAAGCTGCTGCTGCTGCTGCTGCTGCTGCTGCTGCTGCTGCTGCTGCTGCTGCTGTTGCTGTTGCTGCTGCTGNTGCTGCTGCTGCTGCTGCTGCTGCTGCTGCTGCTGCTGCTGCTGCTGCTGTTGCTGTTGCTGCTGCTGCTCTTAACATAACGGGCAGAGCAGCATGCTGCTATCTGCTGCAGATTCGGCACAGACGTAAAAAACCGCCCAAGAGAACCGACAAAGTTTTTGAGGGTGTGTATATAGACAAGGGCTTATTATAAAGAAGAAGAGGAGCTATAAGAGAGAATAATATATAAATATATTTTATCTAGACAGGCATCAACATATGCCCATATGTAGACACACATAAACTATGCAGGAAACACAATATATATTACACAACAGAGAAAGGCCAAAGGCCCCGAGGGGGGGAGCAGGAGGAGGGGAGAGAGACAAAGACCGCAACATAGTAAACAAGAC